CTATCCTTACTGTGACTCAGATGATTGGGGTGCCAAAGGAACTCCGGTTGTCTTTCCCGCCTTTTTCCTCCCTTCGCTGCTGTAGAGGGAGAGGGAACCGGGTTCCTACCCTGCCAGGAGGATCGCAAATCTTGCATCTCTCGCTGACTTTCCCCTGGCTCTCTGCGATCCCTGGGCTGGTCCCAGGGGTGGGGGAGGGGTGACCGCTTCCCGCATGAGCCAGGGGCCCGCCTGCGGCTGCCGAGGATCTCCTGGCTACATCGGACAACAGGGCTTCTTTCCAGTGCAGCGGACCCAGCCATGTTCCTTAAAGGGGCAGCAGTACCTGGGTTCTGCTGCAGCCCTTCCCACGTTTTGTCTTTTCTTCATTCTTTCCGAACCATCGACCTGCGTCCTGCTTCAAAGGCAGGGCCGGACAGACTGGGGAGTAGAGGATAAGCCCCTCCCGCTCAGGGGCCAAAAATAGTCGGCCGGCCCTGGCTTCGAGGGAGGAGCTAAGATCCCAGGTGTAAAGGACTGCCCCACTGCCAGGACCACTGGAGAAGCAACTGTCCCCCATGGTATTCTACCATATTGACGTAGCACCTTTGTAAAGAGCATAAAAGGGTGGCACAACTGCCACCCTCAGCATGACCAGAAGTGCCAAATGTGTAATGGAAAGCCCGAGACACAAACTTTGAAAAGTAGAGAAAAAGTGAAGGAAGGCCTCTGTGAGGAAGCACAGTTGTCAGTGAGCTTCAATGGAAGCGGGGCAGCAATCAAGAAAAGCAAGAACAGCATTTTTGCGCAGAAGTAGCCAATGTCCAATTATTTTATAATCCTAAGCATTTTGTCTCTTTATGTCTTCATTGGAGGCTCCAATGTGTCTAGGGTCTCCATTAGCTTGCCATGTTGCATGAAGTCTTAGGGTATGCATCCATTTTCTTTTATAGTAAATGGGTTGTTCTATGCAAAGCAGGAAAATGAAATCAAAGTTGTTAAAACTAAGCAGGTATCTGTCTGGTAAATGCCTGTATGGGAGTCAGTCCTGAAGCTCCACCGGAAAGGAAGAGTTCATATGTGGCTCCTGGACAGCCTCTGATTCAGCACTTACTTTCATCTCTAGCATTATTTACATCTCAAAGAACCTCGGAAAGCGGAGAAGTCAAGGCATAACAAGCAGAAATGAGATAAACTGGAGTTCAGTTTAGAATGCGCACCAGGGAAGCCGTGCAAGAAAAATTCAGCGCTGTTTCCTAGTAGAAGAATTTGGAATGCTAACATTTTGGTATGTAAGGAGCATGTAACATATGCTCTGGCCAAAGTAAAAATTTCACCATAGTATAAAAACTATTTTAACTGTAGCTGTGTGTACTTAAATCTGTCAATTTAGAATTTCATGAATCTGATGAGGTCAGTGCTAGAATAAAAGCCAAGGCCTAACAATGCAGACTAAAGGTTAATGTGACTTATGCTACTGCATTTAGAAATATAATGGAAAGTTTCTAGTGCACTTCATACTTCGTTAGAAGAGTTTTTAAAAGGACGTTCCAGCCATGATAAAAGGAGGCTCTTATACTGTAACAAACTCATTAGTCTTTACAACATCACTGAACTCTTTATTGCATCTGGTAAATCTGATGGTGCCTGGTGTGAAAGCTTGCTTCTGCTGTTCTTAGAAGGCTAATTGGTAAGTATTTCTTTCTTGAAATTAAGTAACTGTGAATCTCAAGATCAAACAAAACTGTATTACAAAACTACATTTTGTTAGATAAACAGCAGACCATGATAAGCTGGAAAAGAATTAACAGTGCAGTCCTAAACAGAGCTACAACCTTTCAAGACCCCTGTAGTCATAAGAGCATAAGAGAGGTCATGTTGGATCAGGCCAGTGGCCCATCCAGTCCAACACTCTGTCACACAGTGGCCAAAACCCAGGAGCCATCAGGTCCACCAGCAGGGCCAGAACTCCTGAAGCCCTCCTGCTGTTACCTCCTCAGCACAAGAATACAGAGCATCACTGCCCCAGACAGAGTGTTCCATCTATATGTTGTAGCTAGTAGCCACTGATGAATCTGTAGTGTATCAGGCCCCGACAGGGTCGGGCATGCCTGGACTTGCCCAGGAACAAACACCTCAAGCTTCATGCCAAAAGACAATGGGCCAGTAGGATCCTAGCCAGGCCCAATGAAAGGGCTAGGTCCCAGGCCAAGAGGCCAATAGGTCTCTTGGTCACTGTAAATAGCCTATCGGGAGTGGGGTGTGTGTTTGGTGGTGGGTTTCTCTGAAGGAATATAAGCCAGCCTGCGAGCCGGTTAGGTGTCTTTGTTCCTGACTAAATAAAGGTATGCTTAGCTGAAATCACTCTCCGTATGCATTATCCATATATAATTATCCATATATTTAGTCAGGCTGTAACTTCTGTTTAGGATTGAACTATTAAGTGATGCAGTTTGCCACACGTCCCACTAGATGGCAATACTTTTTGGCTATATTGAAACCAAGCAAACCATTTGCAGGCTATTACACCATCCCTCAGTTTTCAGATGAACAGTCCAGACCCTGCTAGGAGTGAGCTGAAAAGATGGATGACTGCAACATCTTACAAGCAGAAGATATTTTTGCCACCATTTTGGCATTATTAAAAAGTTGTCTTAACTTTCAGTGATGTTATCAAAGAGGGGAAAAGTGTTTTACCAGTTTGGAATAAGGACAAATGGTGCTCAAACAGGATTTGTTTGCCCTCAGTAACATTAGCATGTGATGGATCTGACTCTGTAATCCCTAATTGGCTGGGATCACCATCTGAGAAGCATTACCATCCTCTACACTGGCTTTGTTTGCCACAGTAATGTCTGTCAGTCAAATCTGATTGGCTACAGACTGTCATCTTGTTCACTATGTGAACCTTACTTAAATCTTCCAGGGGGAGTTGGGGGGCTGTCTGACTAGGTTCAAGAGGTAGTTAATGCCAGTTTAGTGTAGTGGTTAAGTGCGAGGACTCTAATCTGGAAGAACCAGGTTTGATTCCCCACTCCTCCACTTGCACCTGCTGGATGACCTTGGGCAAGCCATAGTTCTGGTACAGCTGTTCTTGAAAAAGAGCAGTTTCTGTCAGAGCTCTCTCAGCCCCACCTACCTCACAGGGTGTCTGTTGTGGGGAGGGGAAGGGAAAGGAGTTTGTAAGCCACTCTGAGACTCCTTTGGGTTGTGAAGGGCGGGGTATAAATCCAATCTCTTAGTCTCTTCTTCTTCCTTAAGAGAAGGGGTGGTTGCCACAGCCTTCAAACAGGCTGTGATGCGTCCACATCTAAAGAAGCCTACCCTTGAACCTAGAGATTTCAATAAATATCAACCAGACTCAAATGTTCCATTCCTGAGCAAGGTGATTGAACGAGTGGAAGCTGGACAAGTTTTCCTGGATGAGGCAAATTGTTTAGATACCTTCCAGTCTGGGTTTGGGTCTGTTTATGGGGTTGAAACAGCCTTGGTTGCCTTAGTGGATGACTTGCACTAGGATATAAACTGAGGGAGCACAACTTTATTGACTCTCCTGGACCTCTCAGTGGCTTTCAATATCACTCATCACAGTAGTCTTCTGCACTACCTATCTGGACAGGGATTGGGAGGCAGCATTCTGTGGTGGTCCCAGTGCTACCTGGAGGGTAGGTTTCAGAAGGTGGTGCTGGGGAACTGCTGCTCAGCCCCATGGCCTTTGGGGTCCCATCTTGTCTGTTTGCTCTTTAACGTCAACAAGAAACCACAGGATGAGGTCATCCAGAGATTTGGGGTGGGCTTTCACCAATATATGGATGAAATCCAGTTCTATATTATGCTTCCGGCTGATTTCAGGGAGGCTGCAGATACCCTGAACCAGTGTCTGGAGACAGTGGGGAGTGGATGTGGGCTAATTATCCTGATAAGACAGATGTGAAGATGGTAGGCTGAAGTTCCAACCTGGGATTTAATGTGTCACCCATTCTAGATGGGGTTGCACTCCCCTTGAAGGAACAGGTCTGTAGTCTGGGGGTATTCTTGGGTCTACTGCTGGATAAGCAGGTGGCCACTGTGGTCATGAGTACCTTTTACCTACTTCATCTGGTTAGGTAGCTGTGCCCTTTCCTGGGCAGAAAAGTTCTGGTCACTGTGGTGCATGCCCTGGTTACATCTAGATTAGATTGCTGCAATGTACTCTATGTGGGGTTGTCCTTGAGAAATGTTTGGAAACTTCAATTGGTACAAAATGCTGCAGCCAGGATGTTGACTGGGGTGGATTGTAGGGACCACATCACTCCAGTTTTGGCCCATCTACACTAGCTCCTGATTTGTTTCTGGGCACAATTCAAGGTGCTGGCCTTGGGATCAATAAACCTGAAGGACTGCTTAATCCCTTATGAACCTGCCTGACCACTTTGGTCTTCTTTGGATGCCTTGCTGCAGGTGCTTCTACCTTCTGAGATTAGGGAAGTGGCAACCCAAAAGAGCAACTTCTTAATCACAGCACCAAACCTCTGGAACGCTATCCCCGGGGGAGATTTGTTTACTCAAGTCACTCAGTAGCTATGCCCCACCGCTCAGCATGAGTGGAGAGACAGGGTGGCAAACAGTCCCAAGTCTACATAACACCCAAACCCCAGAGGAATCACAATCAAAATATGGGTCCTCATTCAGTCAAGCCACCCAGTAGCTAAGCCCCTCTGCTCAGCATGAGCAAAAAGACAGGGTTGCTCAGAGATACCTTAGCCCACCTAACACCCAAACCCCAGCAGGGAAGAGGAGTTCACAATTAGGAGGGAATAAATGAATGTGCTCTGCTAGTCTGCTTTTAACAAGTTCCCTGTCTCTCTGTGTAGCTGCAAACAGCTGACGAGAGGGTGTGAAGCTGAGCTGAACATATATATAGCTTTCCAGCCAGCAGTGCCTGTTAAGCTTTGCAGGGCTCCTATTGGTGTTTCAAGGCTGGAGAATTCCAGCCCTCTGTTACCTTGGAGTTTTGTAACCAGTTTAATTGAGGGGAGACAGTCTGTCTGGAAATGTATTCATTCATGAACTGCCAAGAACAGCACCAAAGTTTGATTTGTGCCAGGCGCCCTTTCACGAACACCACTTCACGAACCACAAACCAGCCAAAAATTGTGACAGACTTTAGTTCGTGAGCCGGTTCGAGCCCATCCCTATATATCACTTCCCATCCCACTAAAAGCACAATTTTTTGCTTAAAACAGCCATCTGAATTATATTATTAAAAAGAACAGAGAAGCTCTGTGCCATAACATGCATTTAAATGCTGTGGATAGGAGTACAACAGGGATCATCTACATATTTGGCATTTTGTATTTATTGCAGTAAGGGCCTGTAATCCATATTTAAATGGAGAAATTTATACAGAAATCCTAGAAGGCAGTGTATGATGTGTGTGTTGTAAAATCACTATTAACAGTCCTTTGACAGTTTTGCTGTTGTCACAGTTTGCTGCCAATTTATATGCAGTGTGTCAATGCTGTCTGCATTTCTTGCATTTCCTATTAAAACATGATTCCTACTTCCAGTCACATAATTAGACATAACTCCACTAGTCCCACCAGCACAGTGGTGATATTACATGAAGACGGAAAAGAACCTTATTGGTCTCATTTGTTTCATCCATCCTATTTTTTGTTAACTTATTAAGCTTATTGTGGCACTGAAGAAGAGTCACAATAATGGACAGTTCTTCCAATTGTTTCCTTATCTATTGTCTTCAATGATTATGGTTCTTCTAGGGTAGACATCAATATCCACAAATATGTAGCGATACTCATATTTTCCACTTTCAGGATTCTGTAACAAACAAAGGGGGGATTTTTTTTTTTAATTCATGGTCACTTAAGAATAAAAAAAATGCTTTTGGCTAACTTTATTCATAGACATCATACCTCTTTCACTTCCAGATGAACTGTCCCTTGTTTTCCTTTCTCTGAGCCTTCAATGTAGAATTTTAGGCGCATATATTTCAGTCCATCTTTTATGTACTCAATGTGACTGCAAAAACAGAGTGAGAAAAGGTGTTGCAAGATCTGGTCTGAAGAGACCAAAGATGGAGATGTTCCACCAGGTATATGGTCAAGGATAGTGACGGTTAAATGAACACCGCCCCAATTCTATAATACTGTCCCTCAGACATCCCTTCCTGATAGTATTAACTGTAATTGTAATGCATTGGTTTATTATGTGCTATCATAAATTAATTGTTATTGTCACTGTTATTATTGTAAAGTTACTTTTAACTATTTTATCATGCTGTAACCTGACCTGAGCCCTCCAATGTAGGAAAGGGTGGGATAGAAAATCAAAGTAAACTGTAATTGTAATGCATTGGTTTATTATGTGCTATCATAAATTAATTGTTATTGTCACTGTTATTATTGTAAAGTTACTTTTAACTATTTTATCATGCTGTAACCTGACCTGAGCCCTCCAATGTAGGAAAGGGTGGGATAGAAATACAAAGTAATAGATAGATAAATAAATCTAGTAACACACTACTAACTAAAGACACAAACCATGTATACTCAAACTCACTGGTTAATCAACTACTACTTAAGAGACAGCAGTCCTATGTAAACTTATATGGGACTAAGAGTCATTGAACTCAACTGGACTCACTTCTGAGTAAATGTGCAGTTGTGCTGCCAGCTGATTAGGAATGTGTAGTGGTGAAGCAGGGAAGAGAGGGAGTGTTTTTTCAAATGGTCAGACCAGATCAAACCCAGTAAATAATCAAACCCAGTAAATGGTATTACTGAAATTCTTAAAAAACCCTCAAAAAAAGCTCTCCACTGGAAGAGAGGAAGAATGACAGGTCCAAGGGCCTGAGGAAATAGTTCTGATACAACCAGGACCTATGAAAATGCACACCTTCCTTTCTAGACACTGTGATAATGTGCTTGGACTGTGCTGTGCCACAAGAAGACTGGATCAAATCAAGTTTGGAAAAGAGTGTACTAAGGATGGTGAAAATAATGATGGAAGCACAACTGCAGCATGATGTTATGAGGATGCTCCAGAAAAAGCACTCCAGTTCAGAGCTGAGAAAAACCTCTTCATGGAAGCAGCCTTACTATATAAAAGTGTATCCTTGCTATGTTTGACCATGAGTATTCTTTTGCCCTTTATAGAGCTGACAGACATGGCTGTGGAACAGCATCACCTTGTTTTGCAAATTAAAGCTGAAAATGACTCTTGTACTGCCATTCCAACTTTATACAGTGCATACTTCCCTCCAACGAGTTCTCTCTGTAACTTGTGAAAGGTAATCATGTGTTAAGCAACCATCAGACTAAAGATATCTAAAAATGTTTCACAATAGATTTGTTCTTCTAAACCATAAAATAATACTTTGTTCATGTTGTACTGATTGTCTCAAAGTAGAAACAAAGGTGTTCTTGAGCAAAAGATATTAGAAATAAAAACCCCTTTTGTTCACTGCTATAATAGGGAGAAAACCATTTTGACACTTCTCCCAGTTCTCAGATAGCTCATTGAGCAAAATTCTAATGGTAACAACAAGTTACCAAGGTGTTCAGAAAAGTTTGTCCTCCATTATTTCCTCTTTCTGTGAGCAGCTGTACTGAAATGAGGGCTTATGTGTTGTAGTGTGAAAGTTCTAGTGGCAACAAGAGAAGAATCTAGTTCTAGGGCACCACTGCTCAAATATGACCCCAGCCACACACCTCCATGGTATAGACACTAAGTCAGGGGTGTCAAACTCATTTGTTATGAGGGCCAGATCTGACATAAATGGGACTTTGTCAGGCCAGGCTATGTATGTTATAAAATGTAATGCCAGGTAGTGAAGATATCAACTTTATTAAAGGACACCAGCAAACCCAATTAAAGGGTTTTTCAAGTTATAATACAAACATGCTTAAAATAGTAAGACTCTTTACATATTTTGTTTAACAGTCTTTGAAAACTGACACCTCCCAAACTCCCCCCCCCCAAACATGCCTGCCTAAAATAGAAAGCTGTGGGGATAGTGGGATTTGGCAATGCAATTTTTTATATAAAACATCAAGATAAAGCACAAGAATCACAACAGAAAGTAAAAATAAAAAATAAAAATAAAAAAATGCTCTGAGCCTCGGGAAACATGAAATGTCTGAGCATTACAAGCTCCCCCCCCCCCGGTCTACTCAGAGAGGCAGTGGCTCTCCAGTGCAATGTCCCCCTTTGGCTGTGGGTTCCCAGGTCAGAGTACTCACTCAGGCACCTGTTCTCAGGTCCATTCAGCAGAGACAAGCTGGCTCCAAACATCAGCCCTTTATTTGCAAGGAGACAACTTCAGAGGCATACAAACTGGAAACTGAAACTACTTGACCTCCACTCCATTGAAATACATTGCAGCTCAAAAAAAGCTGCAAAGAAAACGAGGAATGGATTTTTCATTAAGGTTTCTGGGCCCAGAAAGACTGCTCTAGGACTGGAATGACAGCCCCCAAAGTAGAATTCCATTCCCAAAACACAGCTACTACTCCCAAGGACAGTCATTCCACTCTGGGGGCTAGTCTATCTAGGCCCAGAGACCTTAAAGGAAAATCCATTCTGCATTTTCTTTGCAACTTTTTCTGTACTTTAGCCTAGAAGAGCTTCCTGCTGGAGGAGAAACAGGCGAAGGCAAGGCCCAATCAGCTGGGAAGTTCAGCAGCCCCGATCTCCCTTGGCAGGGTAAGGACTGGCAGGGGTGGGGGAGAAGAGAGCTGTGGGTCTGATCAAAGCCCTGGGCAGGCTGCTTCCAGCCCACGGGCCATAGGATTGACACCCCTGCACTAAGTTATGTTCTCTTCTACCGCTTTGAATTAAATGACCCTAAAAGAAGTGAATATGATAAAAGTAAAAACAGTAAAAAGGAATGATGCATTTTCAAAGAGGGTACTAGGAAAGAAAACTAATGCTTCTATAAGATATGAGTTCTATAAGATATGAGCTTACCTGACAAGCTGTCTTCTCCCACGGCGAGTTGATTCACCATAACCTTTTATGGGTTCACCAAAAACACCTATTACCTACACAATAAAGGCAGGATAGGATAATTCACTTTCTCTACTGTCGAGTAGTAGATCAATAATTTACACAACATTAAAATCAGTAATGGCAGACAAGTTTTCTTGCCGCACCAAAGTATTACTACCACCAGTAACCTTCCTCTGAAAAGTTCAGATATGAGGTGGTACCCCAGAACACATCCCAGAATCCTCTGCAATGTGTAAAGGACAAACCTGCAGCACTTCCTTGGAGCAGTTGACTAAAAAGGGTTCCCTGAAAACTCTGAAGATTATCCATGTAATGTGATCTTCCCACACTTTCCAATTGTCTCTTGCTCATTGCTGTTTGATATACAGGGATGCAGGAATTTACCAAGAATGCTCCAGATGCCTCTGCACCATCATCCTTGACAATCAGAAGGCCACATAATTGCTGCCCTTCCATCTTTGATAGTTCTGTGATACAGAGCTCAAGAGTATTCCAAAAGAGAGACTTCTTTTTGCTGATTTACCAAGGCAAAAAAGCTGACAGGTTAATCCAGCTGAGTTAGCAGGAAGCTTGACTGGCAAAACTCTTATTCTGGCAATGTACAGTATGTACAGCCAGTGAGCACATCATTAACTCTACCATGAACTCCTTCCTTTTCTCAGGTACTCTGATTCAGTCCCCATTGCAAGATAAACAAACAGGACTGCAGTATCAGATGAGCAAACCAAGTGCCATTGGTTTAAATGGGCTACAGAAAGGCAATATTTCCTTTATAAGACAAGGGCAGCTTCTAAAGGAAAAACTCTTACATGCAAGTATGAAAACAAACCTCAGGGTGTGCTCTGCATTTCTCTAAAGCATCTCCATAGATCTTACTGGGACTAGAGGAAGAGAACAACTCTTTAAAAATCACGTAGAATAATCCACCTGAAACAGAGGGGAAAAACAGATGTAGCTGAACCAAGGACCAGTCTACAGAAATAACCAATAATAAGTCATTTGTAAGATTTTGTTGTTTCAATAACCTGTAATGCCGATCCCAACCACCACTACAATTAAGTATGTGAAATCTCTTCCAGCTTCTTTCACTGAAAGAGACAAAAAACAAGACAGATAACTATATCATACAATAAAATTCACACTGATGTTTCATGGGCATGTGTTAAATGGCTCCTAATAGTTTCATTAAAACTTTATAAAGATAAAAGCATAGTAATGTTTGGCCAAAGAAGGGGGACACATGGAAGTCCTAGCAAATGTACTAACCCATGGGCCCCATCTTCACACCCAGGAAATGTGCAGTGCAGTCCTGTGCAGAGTTAGCTTATGCAGCATTGTTACTGCATGTTTGCCTGACTCTCAGAGTCAGATGAACCACTGTCAATAAATCTGTTTCTTCCAGTGACTGTGATCACTCTATACCTGGAAGTGAGATACTATGACATGACTAAATATGCACGTTCTACTGCCACCAAAGTATACCATGTGTGCCCTCTACTTCTGACTGTTATGCCTCTGTGTCTTTTGAATCCACTAATTTAAGTTACTGTATAAAAAAGCCCCTTCTGAGCGATGAGTTGCAACCAATTAATTTGGAGAATTATTGCTACCTTAAATTACAAATTTCTTCTCTGTAAGCCAATGTAGGCTCTTTTAATATGCCACACTTTGTCACTGACTTGAAGGCAAGCTCTCATGAGAATACGGTCTATTGATCTCTCCATCATAACTGCTAACCTCATACACTTCAGAATTACTAGGGTATTTATAGAGCAGTCTTAAGCACTATTCATGTAACTTTACAGGACTGTTCAAGATGGGCAGCCATGTTAGTCTGTAGCAGCAGAAAAGAGCAAGAGTCCAGTAGCAGATGCTTCTTCCAGACTTTTAAAACATAAACAACATTCCCTGCAGCTGCTGTGTGGCAATCAAGGCAGGTCCAGGGAACCCAAACTAAACCTAACTTGTTTAAAAATGTATCATGTATTTTGGTCCTGAGTTTACACACCTTCCTTTTGTTCTACTTGAAGCACTACAAAATCATGCAAAACTTTTTTGACTAAAGACAACAGTAGTATGATGTAACAGGCAAACAAGCGTTGCATCATAACATCTTCAACTCTCTGAGAATAAACTACTATCCAAGTGTCTCCAGCCTTAGTTACCTTTTGCCCCTTACCCTTCACTCCAGTGTTATCCTGTTGGAATAAATGGGATTAAACTAAAGCAACTCTGCATAGAATTGCACTGATACTGAAGTAGCTTCACCAAATATTTGTTCAAAGACTTTAGAAAATGCTTATTTTAAATGTTAAAGTACAACATTAATCTTTATGCAGGGAACACTGCCTCTGATCATTAAACTCAGCCAGGCTCTCACTTTTATGAATTGTTTGGCAGATAAATTATTAGTTTTATATGGCTGAATAAGAAACCGTAAAACAATAAAACTGATACTGGAATTGGTTGCATGGTACAAATACAATTCAACTATAAACAATGCAACGAGCACAGTATCTTTACCTATATACTATCAGCAAAGTGTGGCGCCCATTTGTGGATACCTAAATCTGCAGACTGGAGCCACGTGGATGCTAAACAGGTTTGTCAGCAAACTTAGGGGGACTCCCCAGTTTTCAAAAAAAACCTTGAAACAAAAATAAAACAGGGGGTTTAAATCCCCCCAATACAATTGCTTTGTCTACACACATGCAGACAATGCTCTTAGCAGAACGGAGGAGACAGATTCTGGCAGCCACTATGGACACAGCAGAGGCTTCGGGCCAGCTGTGGAGGGTGCCAGTGGATGCTCTGGCCCAGCTGCAGTGGATGCTGGCTGCCATTTTGGGCCTGGCAACAGTGGAGGAGCACACTGGTAGCTGCTCTGGCCCAGCCATGGAGGACACAGGGCTTAATAGCAGGTAGTGGGGCCTGGAGCTGTTCCGACGATGGGGGGGAGTGATTCCCCCTGCAAGTCTCCTGTGAGTGTCGCGGGTCCCTACTTATCTTATATCTAATAGTGAAGGGGGAGGGTATCTTTTGATACTTAAATCCATGGATTGCACCCATTTACACAGAAGGAAGATTTTTCTACAAACTTGAGGGGGCTCCTAAGTTTGCAGAAAAATCAAAAAACCAGGGGAAAATTTGGAATGGGGGTTGTAAATCCCCACAAACAGAACTTGCCTGTGTATGTGCAAACAATGCTTTTCTGTTGGAGCCGCTGTAAGGGGGAGGCACATGACAAGGCCACCATGTTACCCGGCCTTGACAACGATGACCTCAGGCCCAGTACTGCTTTGCCATCAGGGCTCCAGACATTGTCACCACAGCCCCTGGGCCAGCACTGATCCTGGTACTGCTGCTGTGGCCTGTGTGGCTCCTTCCATTGCCATTACTGCTCCTGAGGCTGGCACAGCTCTCGGCTGCTTGGCTGGAGACACAGAAAGAGGCCAGCCCTGTGATGGAGTACAAGGGGGAAGCAGCCAGGCAGAGCACTGACGATTGGGTGGCTGGCTGTGGGTAAGAGTAGCGGGGGAGGATTCAAGCTTCATCATCCTTTTTGTTCACTTGGAACCCCCTACTGACAATATTAAAACCATATCTACATTACATTCAAACTTACAACAGTTTCATTGTCTAAGAATTCTCACAGGAAACGATATAGTTTTGCAAGGAGACTAAAAAAGTCTGTGTGAACCCTAAACCAGGCATGCAAATACTCACTGTCCTGAGTATTAGGGAATAGAAAAGGTTTCCAGGCAACTAGCCCAAAAACATTTGCAAACTCATAGAGCATGCAAATACTCACTGTCCTGAGTATTTGGGGCTAGAAAAGGTTTCCAAGCAACTAGCCCAAAAGAGCTGAATCTACTTTTCTCACAAACATGAACAACATAGGTAGAAGGTTAGTAAAATACTTTGTGGGATAGGAACTTTGGGCACTTGAATACAGCTACGTGGGATAGGAGCTTTAGGCACTTGAATTCAGCTATGAGGTCGCCTCATTCAGAATACTGTGTACAGTTCTGGTTGCTGTATCTCAAAACTGATTATTACAGAGCTGGAAAACGTACAGATGAGAGAAACCAAGACAAGCGGTCGGAGCAACTTTCCTATGAGGAAACATTGTAGAGATTGGAACTTCACAGTCTAGAATAAAAGACAGCTGAAAGGAGACATGTTAGAGGTTTATAAAATTATACATGGGGTGGAAAAAGTGGACAGGGATTTTCTTTCCTCTCCAACAACACTAGAACATGGGGGCATGTAGTGAAGTTGGTGGGCAACAGGTTCAGGACGGACAAAAAGAAACATTTCTTTACTCAGTAAGCAGTCAAGTTGTAGAATTCACTGCCAGTGGACACAGTGATGGCCACGAGTGTAGATGAGTTTAAAAGGGGATCAGGCAGACTCATGGAGATCAATCAATGATTACTAGCAATAGTGTGTAAAGGGAACCTCCACATGCAGAGAAACAGGAAACCTCTGAATACCAATGCTAGGAGGCAGTATCAGGGGAAGGGTTTGACCTCTGTATTGTCCCTCCAGGGCAACCAATTAGCCAATGTGTGAACCAGTACAGAGGACTAGATGGACCACTGATCTGAACAAACTGGAATCATCTTGCCTTCTTTGCTAAACTTTCAACAGGCATGCATTCCCTAAGCTTGGTAGGTAGGTTATAACTCCTATTATTATAGTCTATAATCACAACTTTAATCCAGTTAGGGTTTACCTTTGCAATGTAAGTAACAGTGTGCCTTAGAATAGGTTGGACAGAAAGTAGGTCACTGTCCACTGCTAGATCACTGGTCAATTCTGGCAAACTGCTCAGTTCTTGGAGTTTTGCAAAAAAATAAAAAAATAAAAATGCAGCACTAGATAGACCTTGGTCTGATCCAGAAAGGCACTTACGTTCTTAAATCAAGAGTACATAGGCAGGATAACACAGATTATGTATGCATTAATTATTAAGAAGTGCTGGATAATCAAACTTAAACACATATGTGAACATGAAGAGAAGCGCAGACTATGCAACAGAAATCAGCCATTCTAAATCTTAAAGTATATGCAGAATGACACAACCACACTCAATTAAATTACTCTCAGATAGAAGGCCCAATTTCCATGAAAATTTGACTCTGGACATTTTTTATTTTAGAAAGTAAACACTGCTTATGCCATTGTACCACACTGTACTGAAGAGAAACACACCACACACAGGCCCTCATCAAAAATGCATACACCAGTGGCCTTAATAAATCCCAGATTAGTATGATATTTGCAATTATGGGTTGAATACCTAGAGGAGTTACACATAGATTAACTATGCACAGAATAACCCAAAGTTGTAGCTAGAAAAATACAAAATCACAGTTTGGGCAACCTCCCATCCCTTACCTTTCTGAGCAGCTGATAAGGAGGCTCCTCCTTTTTGGCTTCTTGGCACTGACACCTGTGTGTTGCTGTTTTCAGATTTACCTGATCTCAGGGACCCTTCCGGAGTCCAGATCTTTCTCCTCACATTCGCAAAGGCTAATCCAGGGTGCAAGCCAGATTCATTGCAACTCAACCTTTGCCCTAACTTGAAACATACCCAAGTCCTTATAAACGCTTTCCTTTGGCGTACACACAACCGTTGCACAGGCGATCCCAGTAGCTTGTCGCTTAAATGAATACCTCGCATCAAAGACGAAAGCATCATAACAGAAAGTTAATATTGTGCCAAGTGTATAAGATCTATTAATTATATTAAACCTTCTTAAGCTCTGTGAAAAGAACTGTATTCATCGTATTGTAAATTACTCTCTCTGCAAAACCTGCACAGCTCCCACAAGAAACACCCCCCTCCAATACACACAGTTTCACCACTCTCACGTCTTCATTAAGTTTAAGAAACCGACGGACGCACGAACAACATAGATTCACTGACAATTGCAACCCGCCCCGCCATTATGAGTGCAAAGCTCTCTGGGAAGTGAAGTTTACAGACTGTCTGACTTGCTCATACCTACTCAGGAAAGAGCACTACAACTACCAGAGTGCAAAGCGTCCTACCTTTCAACAAGAGTCCAACAGCGGTCACGTTGTCTTGATTCCCCCCTCCCTCCTGGATTTCAATCTCTTATTTCTGGAAGTAAGGAAAACTCGAAAAGTTTAAGCAACACAAATCCTTATCTTGCCGAAGGTAATCGTAGGGGCGCGCATTAATTTGGAATAAACGCCTGCATTTTAAGCAGTATTGTAAAACTACAACTGGAGTTTAGTACATCCCATTTTTTACTCGGTTTGCAATGCAAGATGATTATTTTTCATTTACTTAGCTGATTTGAACAGTTTTAAACGTTGCCCACAATCAAAGTAATGGTTCGCGTAGGAGTGCAACCATATACACACATCCAACAATGTACACTCGTTCTCAACCAAGCGATAAACCAGTGGAGACTGGACCACTTTAAACTGCGGGTAGAGAGAGGAGTTTGAAGCCTCCATAC